ACGCTAAAATATAACATTAACAAAATCAAAACTTTGTTTATGAGGAAATAAGAGGAGATTGAACTCGGGTAATGCTTGCTACCATTCAGTCCAGAACTTTTTGTCTTCTCGTCTGCTCTCAAAAAACATAAGGATTAGACTATAAAACTATAATATTGCCTGTAGTTATGTATGGGTGTGAAACGTGGTCTCTGACATTAAGGGAGGAACATAGACTGAGGGTATTTGAGAACAGGATGTTGAGAATATTTGGACCGAAGAGAGATGAAGTGATGGGAGTTTGGAGAAAACTGCATAATGAGAAGCTTCATAACCGTAACTGCCAAGCTGTAATCAATATCTGGTCGTGAGCGCCAGATGTGGCTTGATATAGCTATGGATTTTCTGACTGACTGATCGTCAGTCGTAATGTGGCTTTGACTTTTACTTTGACAAAAATGATTGCGGAACCTTAGTTCCCAGGATGAACGTTGAAAACTTTGGTTGGTTTCATCTATTTTATAAGTATCCTTGGACACGTTATCCATATTTAAGAATGTTGGATAGTGTTGTATCAGTTGTGTGTGTGTGTGTGTGGTGGGGGGTCTGTATCAAATGCTCTAACCATCGTCTGCAACAAACAATCAGAAGTACTTTTGCTAGGCAACGGCTATCTAAGAATTATTTTCATGTCAACAAAGATTCAGCAGAGGTTTTTGTGGATACGAGGAATCTTGGGATCCCCAGGCGTTTCCGCTACAACGGATAAAGGGGACCAGTAGCTCCTATTACGACCTCCCGAACTTATTCAACTGTGAAGTGTCAAATAGGTAAGCAGAAATTGTAATTATGCATGTGTTCAATGAATACGTTTTTATGTATTTCTGTATATCCAAGGTGTCGTTCGGCACTTAAGTTTGTTCGTTTTGGTACAATATTACAGTTGCCTTCTTCTAACCGCTTCATTCTCCTGTACACTCCCATACGCTGCCAGTTTGCCTATAGTTTTGTGTCATACACTAAAGAGTGGAATTGAGTTAGCAGCATACCTCACATTTATTCCCTAATTCAAAGTCACATTGCGACTGACGGTCAGTCAGTCAGTCATTAAGTCTTGGTGTCGAGCTCCATCTGGGGTCATGACCAGATATTTATTGCTGTTTGACAGTTACGGTCTTGTTTTCGTGGGGCGCACTCTCTGACGAGAGGATGGGTCTGTATTTTGCACATGCTGCTGGCCCTTGCCATGGCAGTCTTTTTCGGGTCGGAGTCCCTTGGGATTCGTGACCATATCTTACTGTCTCAGATTTGAGACTTCCCTTTTCGTCGCCTCCAACGACTAGCATTGTCACGGTGGAGGTACTAGAACCCGCCTCCACGCGGGTGTAGAATTATTCGACCCCGTCTTGTATTTATAAGGTTCCAACAATAACAGCACAGAACATATCGTTTCCATGGTTCTTCCGTTTCCCGTATTGTTCCGTGTTGATTATTTATGTGGTAACGTGTTAAACTGCCGTTGCCTAGAAATGTACCAATAATTATAAAATGTTAGAGATTTCGTTAATTACGTTAAAATTCTGTTACATACGTAACAAATTTTGTAACTAACGATTTAATTCCCTTTGTATCCCCGTAAATTAATGTTCTATACGTTAAAATTTGATTTAACCCGTTTTAATATACTTTTAAATTGTACTACGTATACTGTACTGTAAGGCAATAAATGAATTGGTCCATGATGAAGTGTGAGATTTTGATATATATATTGAGACAGGAAAAATTTAAAGTAATTTATATCTCTGCCTTATATGATCGAGGTTACAGGTTTTTCGGATGAACATACTGCCTCCATCTTCAGGCTCGAATAGCAAGACAAGCCTGTACGCGAAATATGCAGTACGTTCTTCCGAAATATCGATAACTTCTGCCAGACTACAAGGCTTCACATTCCAGAAGTCATAATCACTGTCATGGCAACCTCAAGTCTCGAGTATTTCTACCTGAAAGCAGGAAGGGAGCCGTTGGTAGTCAACAACAAATTAATCACGTTTGGTGAGGTGGAGGTATTCGACCCCGCCTACACACGGGGTTACTGAAATTTATTAATGTACTTCAGTCGTATTTATAAGGTTACAGCACTATCAGCGTAGAAAATATCGTTTCTAAGGTTCTTTCGTTTCCCCTATTTTTCCGTGGTGATTCACTGACGTGGTAACTTGTTAAATTACCGTTGCCTAGAAATGTACCAATAATTATAAATTCTTATAGATTTCGTTACTTACGTTAAAAATTAAGTTACGTACGTAACAAATTTTGTTCCTAACGGTTTCATTCCATTTGTACCCCCCTAAATTATCGTTTTCAATGTAAAAAATGAAGTAACCCTTTTGATTGGTTCTTTAAATTGGGTTTTCGCAGCATAACTGTACTATAGTACACTCTAAGGCAATAAACTCATTGTTGTATGATGAAGTCAAGTCGAAGTCAAAGTCAAAATCACATTGCGACTGACGGTCAGTCAGTCAGTAAGTCTTGGTGTCGAACCTCATCTGGGGCTCATGATCAGATATTAAATATTACCGTTTGACAGTTCCGGTCTTGTATATGCTGCTGGCTCTAGCCAGCGCAGTCTTTCTCGGGCTCGATTCCCATGAAACTCGCGACCATATTTCACTTTCTCAGATTTGAGACTTCCCTTTTCGTCGCCTCCTACCACTCGCAGGGTCACGGTGGAGGTATTCGACCCCGCCTCCACACGAGGTGTGCACGATGATGTGTGAGGTTTTGATATTTATATTGAGACAGGAATAATTTAAAATAATTTATATCTCTGCCTTCTATGGTCGAGGTTACAGGTTTTTCGGATGAACATACTGCCTCCATCTTCAGGCTCGAATAGTAAGACAAGCCTGTACGCGAAATATGCAGTACGTTCTTCCGAAATATCGATAACTTCTGCCAGACTACACGGCTTCACATCCCAGAAGTCATAATCACTGTCATGGCAACCTCAAGTCTCTTGTACGAGTATTTCTACCTGAAAGCAGGAAGAGGGCCGTTGGTAGTCAACAACACATTAATCACGTTTCCACTGCAATGAATCAACACGCAACAATAAAGGAACGGCTGGTAAATAAAGACCACAACGCAATCCATGGAAACCATACCTTCTACTCTGCATCCGGCCCGTGAATCTCTCATTACAGAAGTTGCAATCTGTTCAGTTAGGTTACAGCAAGGACGTCGCTTCAATAGTTTAAAAAGCGCATTTCAATATTGTTCCAATGAGGAGAAATCGAGATTCGTAAAAGAGGCAACAAAATATAGAAAATGAGAGAAATCATACATCTCCAGGTTGGCCAGTGCGGAAATCAGATCGGTACTAAGGTAAAGATTTACACATGCTGAATATATTACCGCATTCAATAAGCTCGTGGAATGGCCGCAAAGCGTCATATGGGAATTTACTGCCAATATGTTTTAGCAATATTTTCGACAGCTGTAACAACGTTGGCAGACTTGCATAGCGGCCAACAGCAAATATTTTGAGGGCCGATGTGGATCTGCATAAGTGTATGTGGATTCCTTGTTATATAATGCGATAAAACCATATTCCACGAACTTAATGACTGTACCACGTGTAAGACATTTCGAAGTACTTTCAATAGTAATTGTCGTGTACATAATTTGGTGGGACATTTGGTCGTGATATAAGCGGATTATTTTATGATGTATTATATCTAAAGAAGAAATCTGTTCTTTGGACTGCATATACAAATATGACGTTTGAAAGTTAGTTCCATAAAGGAAAAGAGTACATCATAACTAGCTGGCCATTTAGAGACCAAATGTCTATTTCTTAATCACGGAGGGGGGCAGCTTGACATAATGTCAGGTGTATTAGTGACTATGGAATGGGTTTTGATTGGTGAATATATTTAATGTCCACTCACAGGTTAAACTATAACTGTATTGCTGATTTCCACAATAAAAACACTCAACACTAAGTCCTCTCAGTATATTTCCACTAGTCGTTGCTTGGTAATTGTTCTCAACAATGGCTATCCGTCTGCAAAATTTCTTTAGATGATTCCTGGTAACGAATCTTAGCGATGGATCTTCTTCATTTTCCGTTTTCCGCTTATTGATATTCCACAGGTGAACCCTCAAGTCAAATCAACTGCTTGTGAGGTCAAAGTCAGAATTATTTTAGGACTAGCGGTTTACCGCCTATCAGTTAGTCCTGGCTCAAGACCCTTGAGACTCACAAGCACACACTTTTCTTTCAACTTAACCCTTGAGGTAACACTGCCCCCACTTAATATCCTCTCAAAGTCAAAGTCAAAGTCAAAGTCATAGTCATAGTTATATGTATGTACCTATATAGGGGTGGGCCATAAAAACCGACCCCCGCACTGCAACTTTCAATTATCTATTGTGCTTAAAGTCAGTCTTATTCTATGACTGATGATCAGTATGCCAGTCTATCTTGGAATAAAACACCAACCAGGGGCTTAAGACCAAATCTTCTTTGCTGTATGACAGTTGCAGGCTTGTTGATTTGGGGCGCTCTCTCTGACGAGAAGACGAGTCTGTCATTTGCCAGAGTTACAGTCAGCAGTAATAAGTCTTTTGTCACTACATACAATTTACAATTTACATGTTGTTGTTTCCTGAAGGCCGACTCCCGGTAACATGTTAAAAAAGTATTTAATTTTTTTATTTTAGGGAAAAATGTTGGCAAGATTAGAATAAGTATTTTGGGAATTACTAGTAAGACGTATGCAAGAGAATGTAAAGAAGGGTTAAGAAACTTCAAAGAATTTCTACGTATGGTATTAGACGGACGTTAGCCCGAGACTCGCCGATGTCCTGTCAGCATAATGACGTTGAAGTTATAATGCTGGCTCTGCAAAATCTACACTTGAGTGAGGGGGAACGTTTGGAGGTAAAATTGTTAGCCAAATGGACTAGCAGTAAGGGGGCGTGTCCACCCCTAAGGATCCCAGCCAACGAGAACTAGCCACTTGGGACAAGACGTCATTGTAGGCGGACGTGCACCCTCCGGGAACGTAACGAGTTAGCGAAAATAAAGGTATATAACCAGGGGAGTAAATTAGTGTCGGGATTATTCAAACAGTAATTTTGGCCAGTTGTCGCCGAAGGCTATGTTGGAAGAAGCTCCAACTGAGTGCCGGACAGCGCCATCCGTCTGCAGTCTCAACGCAAAGTAAACGGAACTACTCTTATCGCCATGCTATTTAATTGTGATATTATTAAAGTGTAACTTCCCCAATGGGCCATGAGTTAGGAGAATTACGGCAAGTGTACAGGGCGTAAGAGTGACCCATCGGAGGGATGCAGAGGTAGATATGTGTAATATTGGGGCGGCAGAGGTTGTGTCTAGATGCAGGGAAGATCGCTGTAGGCATGTGTAGAAGATATATATACATGGATGAGTAGAATAGGGAAAAGAGGAGACTAGCGACCCGCAACAGGGTGAAAAGAGAGGCAAAGATGAGGTCCAAAGAATCGCCTATAAAAGTGTAATATGTAATCCGACACCAGTCGGCTATTTATAATGTATAATTTATATAACTGTATATGGATTGTTTATATCCAATATAGCCTAGTATAGAGTGAGAATGTGGAGTTTATTAATGGATTTTCTCCCTTACCGCATTTCGCACCTGCGCCCTCCTGATAAGCCCAGTGAACTGTATTCCCCTAGCCAATGAAGCAACGATCGAGGTAGTAATTTAGCCGTTTCCTTAGCCCCTCCCTGTTACGGCAGTACACATGTTATTAAATATATAGACAATATAAATAAGGCCTTTGTCAGTCCAGGCTCCATACAGCAGATCATGCAATTCACATTAAATGCTACAACTCTGAGGGGTCGGTGAACTCTAGTTGCCTTTTTTCTAAAGATTTAAGACAGTTATTTTAATGGCCAGTATTTTAGCCTCCTCTAACACTGCAACATTAGACTCTGTAATAATTTCCTGTACTATCATTACCGCTATTTGCAATATTTTGTCCAGAGCAACACTGTTTACATTAGGGGCCCGAACTGACTGACTTGTCTGTTGTTCATGTTGGGGTAAGGCCGCAGGGACGTTGGGTTGCATTGTGGGGGAACCTGCCACTGGCCCCTGCTAATGTGTCTGAGGCTGCTGCTGTTCCTCTGTCTTGCGTCGGAGGGCCGCCGTGAAGGACACGCCTGGAGTGGTTGAATTAGAAGAGAGCACCATTCCCGTTGTAGTCCTTGGTGTCCTCTGTGACTTCTTTCTCTGCAAATCCTTCTTCGCCTGTGTAACCGTCCCCTTTTTTATCTTTGTATTTAATTGCCGACTTTGGTAAATCACTTGACTCTTATCAGGATCGTGTTACGGTAATAAATGAGGCAACGGAAAAACTGCACATTTAAAGCCAGTCCACTGCTAAAAATCAACGACACTATTTTTGCTCTCCACAAATTGTTTATTCAGAAGCGAAATACTATAACTTCATTAGCAAGTACGGAGTAATGTGCCCTTTTATTACTACAAAAGATTAATAAACCAAATAAAGACTGATAAATTTAGATAAACTTAGAGAGTGCAGCCCAATGACGTCTGACTCAGATGAATTCAAAACGCCAAGTCCTTTTGAAAACTCTATCCTGTGGGAGCGTTGCTTCGTCCCCTGTATAGGATTTGAATCGACGGCATCTCTCCCAGACAAAAATAGTTTACTATTGGCTGATTTTAACTGGCCAAATCCATCATGCAATCAGCACTAGACAATCACATAACGAACTTTGAGAATAAAGAGATCCAAAGATATAGAACCCGGTACCCCACACGTGAAAGCGGTTACTTCTTAGTTTAGGGTCCAATTACACCCTTCCGAAGGCACTTTTATAACAGCCACACTATCAGCAAAACAAAATTTACATCTTCGGCAAACTACAGACTTGCCTCCCGTGGTGGCCTCGTCCCTTTTCCGGTCACCCAAGCTGCAGGTAACAAAACAAGGCAGTTGTTTCTGTCCAGATGTGAAAAGCAAGTCATAACATGCTAATGAAACGGTCTCCCCAATTAATCAGTCACTCTACTGAAATGACTAAAGAGGACAATAGCGTCCCTTGAAGATTTGTAAAAGGTTTGGACTGTCACACCTGTCTGCAGCCCATCTGCATGGACTAAATCTTATTGCCAGGAATGCGTATTTATTGGCCGGTTACCAAGCAAGAGAACAGCTCAGCGCTGGTTCTGTTGCGTGCGCCTATTTGGGGCATTGCCTAAAAATTAGTCTATATGTCATTTTTATACCAAGCTTTCCAAGAAGTCTGAAATGTTTGTAACGTAGGAAATATTAATATGTTGTAGTTTGGAAATAAGCAGTCGTTGGACATGTTAGTGACATTAGCAACCATTATCAGAAGTATCTGGCTACAAAGATAGGCAAAAAATGGATCTGATCACTTTTTGAAACTGCGTTCATTCTTCCATGAATTTGAAGCAAGTTTTCCATAAGAAGTGAAGGAACATTTGAAATGGATATTGTATTTTGAGAGGTTCTAAGTTTTATATAAAAAAGTTGTTTGTAGTGCGGAATATGTAGTTTCTGGTTCGGAAGTTGTGAGTAGGAGGCATTTGATCAGCCCCTCCCCTCTTAACCTAAGCAGAACGGGGAGACGCTTCTTTCGTCACAGGTTCCTTTACGTTGCTTCGCAATGCCTTTATCCCCAAAATATAGTGGAGTGGCCAAGCTATAGGTCTTGACCGACGATAACCAGAAAAATCTCCAGATAAAAACAATAGTAAATATTTAATATAAAAAAAGGACTCAGATACAATACAATGAAATACCAAGAAATACAACTCCACTCGCGACGCCGCAAGACCGACGTTGCGTATATTTGGAGATTTCTCGCCGTCAACGCCACTAAATACTTTGACCAAAATGAACCTGAATTATCAACCAAGAAGAAAAAGGAGGAAAAAAAAGAAGCCCGAAAATGAATTTCGCTCACTTACCGCCTTGACGGCGAGCTACTCCCTCACAGAAAAACATTCTCTCGAGAGATACGTACACACTTCTTAACAAGTCAAATACAGACCCATTTTTATAAAGTCGGGGCAATACACAAAACGCCAGGCAAGTAAAATAAGTGCCACAAGAAAAAGCTAATTCTAGCTACCACTCGTCCCCAAACCAGGGGAATCGCTACCCAGTCAGAAGAAGAAACCAAACCTAATTTAGACTGGCCAAATCCAAACGGAATTTTACTACCTGCTCCTCTGACTTCTCGTCACCGATTCTATGGAATCTCGGGCATGGTAAATAAGTTAACGAGATCATACTTACAAAATACCGTATTTACGCATGTATAGGCCGCA